AGTAGAAAGCGAGCAAGGACAACTTTAGGAAGGTAGAGGGTATTTTATTACGTGCACTAATTACTCAGAATTTATACTATACATAAATAACTAAAGATGATACATTGTAATTTATTTCAAAGGTTACAAACGATACTCCTTTAGCTCAGTCGGTAAAGGCGCAGCTACAAAGCAAGTCCATGCTGGAGGCGACTGAGTCCTATTCCCGTCCGGTCTATTAATCTTTCGGGTTGGAAAATTTCTCTACTTCCTTGGGCATAGGATGGTACAGGTTTAGAAAGCTCTCAATTTTAATGTGAAAATACTTCAAAAAACACTAAGTTGAGACCAGGCAAAAATCTAATATGCTATATAAGTAATAAGCTCGAAACACCATGTAGTAGTAGTATACAAATGGTATTTTTAGGTAATGAAAGCAGTTTTTTTTTGTCGTGGATTAGTATCTGAAGTCGCGGATTTCTTGTAACAGCCCTGGAATTAAATTTCTAATCAAACTTACAATCCAAGCTGTAATTTTAATACTAAACATGTATTAATTTTACCTTACATTACCAATTCAGACTGAAGTATTTCATTAATTGTTAATTGTATCATAAACTTACACTACTTTTTCGAACTGTGTACGTATTGAGATCTTGAGCAGCTAAGAAGTTTCCGTCTTGGGAAAAATTGTTCAGTTGACCAAGGTCTTCCAAATGGTGGGCAGATTAGTTCAGAACTCTTTCACTACGTGGTGATTTGACCTCCTGAACAGCTTGTTTCAAGTCAGTAACTCCCTAGATGGCCAGAACCGCAAGATATAGCCTATAGCAATAGTTAACGTGTAAACTCGCTCGACTTAGTAAGAAAATTTAGAACTTATTTTCTTCTCTTAAGATAAGTCATAGTCACCTGAATATTTTTGAGATAGATCATACTGGATGTTAATATACATAGTGCCGCGTAGTGAGAAAATTGATAGTTAGTTTGTCTACCATCCAGAAAGCGTTGATCACCTGTACAACTTTGTCGAAAACTGCATTTGGTCAAAAATCAAGATATATCTCATAGGTACACTACACTTGCGCCGCCTTTTGAGATATTCCAAAATTACCTTTTCACCATCAGAAAGGCTTTGATCATCTGAACAACTTCGTAGATGGCCAGAACTGTGTAAAGGGTGTCCACGATGAAATTGCCACACACAAAATTGATTCACAAAATTCGAGTTTTCATCCGATTGCCATCAAATTTTCAGGGATTGAGAAATAACTATTAAACTTCATTTTACCATTTTACTCGTATTTTATTTACAGTCCATACGCAAATGCCCGCACCTTGGCCTTAACCCCGGCCATAAGATTCTGCACAACCTGTGAATCAACCGCTTTTTGCATGTAAACCCATACTTTCTTCAGTTCCTCGACTGTCTTCACTACCTTAGGTCGTTTAAGAAGGTGCTGCTTCATAATCACCCAGTACTTCTCGATGGGGCGGAGCTCCGGAGTGTTTGGAGGGTTGAACATTTTCGGCACGAAATTGACCTTATTGTCCGCATACCACTTCAGGACGTCCTTGGAGTAGTGGCATGAGGCCAAATCCGGCCAGAAGATTGATGGGACGTTGTGGGCCTTCAGGAGACGAAGCAGCCGCTTCTGGAGGCACTCTTTTATGTACACCTGTCCGTTCATCGTGTCCTGGGTCACGAAAGGTGCACTCCGCTTCCCGCACGTGCAGATGGCTTGCCAAACCAGGAATTTCTTCGCAAATTTGGACATCTTCAGAGTGCGGACATGCTCCGGAACGCTGAACTTATCCTTGGCCGTGAAAAACAGGTTGCAGGGGATCTGTTTGAAGTCGGCCTTCACATATGTTTCGTCGTCCATGATGCAGCATTCCACTTTCGTCAGCATGTTGAGGTACAACTTCCTGGCACGGGTTTTGGCGGACTTGTTCTGCTTCTCGTCGCGATTAGGGGCCTTTTGTACCTTGAACGTTCGAAGCCCAGCCTTAGTTTTGGCCTTCTGGACAAAACTTCGGCTTAGATGCAGCTTCTTAGCCACATCCCTAACGGAGGCGTTCGGATTTCGGTTGAAGGCCCCAACTACGTGGTTGTGATTTTTGGTGTTGTACGGAATACTTTTTCCTTCACTTCTGGGCTTCCGATCGGTGGTCAACCGTTCCTCGAACCGCTTAATCACTCGCGACACCGTGGAATTCGCGATTCCCAACGTTTTAGCGATGGAACGATGCGAGAGATCCTTGTTCTCGTGATGAATGCGCAAGATTTTATCACGCACGAGCTGTTCTTTCGACTCCATTTCCGCGAGTTTTGATCACAGGACTTTAAAACTTGCAGGATGTAAATAATGCACTATGAACTAAATCCACCCAAATTTTCATTAAATTCTACCCAACGGTTAAAAAGTTAGAGCAATTTCATAGTGTGGCAATTTCATCGTGGACACCCTTTAGATGGCCAGCATCTGGTTTCATCAATTGTCCAGATGTTTCGAATCTTCTGGAGAATTTCCTTTCGTAACAAAGATGAGCTTTTGTATACAATATTTGCAACATTGCATGAGATGTCTCAGTACCTTACTTGATTTGTAATGTACAGGGTATCTCAGAATAGGTGTCATGTTTATTATTTGATTTACTGGATTTATTTCAAAGGTGTAATTCTTACAGACAAATCAAACATAGCACATATAAGTGTAAATATTTGATAGTTTTTCGCTAAAGGTTGAAATTAGTTTTCTTTAGAGTAAACTAGTCAGCAGCAACTGAAGTTATGCGGAAGTTAGCAAAAATAGAGATTTGACACGCTAGTAGACATGCTTGGTATACACAGTTTTGGTCACGAACTGCTCATTTGCTAATTACTTTGCACACAGTTGACGCGGTAGATAGAATAGAGTTTAAGCTTGTTATAGATACGTAAACAATAGTAGAATTTAATTCTAGCAATAAACAGTATTTGTTTTAGCGTTGTAAAACTGAAGTGAGAAATGCTCGCTGCACATCTCGGACTTTAAGTGTAAACATACATCGATGTTGATTCAAATGTTAAGATTTACCTACTCTTTACATATCTATAGTAAACTATGATCCTAATCTATCAATTACTTTAAATAAAAACAAATTTCAACAACTGAGTGAAAAGTTATTAACAAATGAGCAGGTGGTGTGTACACCTGTGTAATAGACTGATGCAAAATTTTAAAATTTAGCTCACTGTGCTCAAACGGTTCCAAATTGGATCCTGATTAGCCTCCCAAAGTTTGAACTTATTTAGTAAGAAACTGACTTGGCACAAGCCATTTGAAGTTTATATAGAAATTACCATGGGGAAACCAAAATTTTGGTTCATATCTATCTCAAAATTCACCAGTTTACTCTGCTTAAGAAAATGATAGCTGCGTTTGATGAAAATTTTCTCAGCTACAACTTTGTTCAAGACCACTTTTCGGTTAAATGTAAGGAATTAGGATAAGTTATTAATTATTCCAGTCACTGATGTCTTATGATTATGCTCAATCAACTGTTCAACAGGCATCATTGGTGTTTCTGGGGCGTTGAATAGGTCACAAAAATCATGGCTACTATGTCACACTGCAGAATACAGTGTTCCCCACAATACAGCTGCTTAATCATGTCATAAGATTATCAATCTCTTAATCAATTAATAAATATTTAATTTGACGCTGGGCTAAAAAACGATCTTCTGCAAAGTTGTAGCTTTGAAAATTTCCCATACGAAAAGCTATAGAACTTGTTAACAGTTCAATATGGAAAAAGGCTAGAAGACAAAAAGTTTGGGTTTCCCATAGTAATTTCCATATAAACTTCAAATGGTTTGTGACGAGTCAGTTTCTTACCAAAAGAGTAAATTTTGGGAAGCTAATCAGGACCCGATTCGGAACCGTTTGAACATTTCAAATTTTGCATCAGTCTACTGTGCATGCCAAGCATGCTAGTAGATATCGAACTTATCACACACTTGACTTATTCGCTTGAGGCTATTCGCTACAATATATATTGGAAGCACTAACGGGGTTTACTATGGATTTATTCAAGCAACGTTTCTTTGAATATGGGGCAGTGTTCCCAAAAATACCGTGCGTCCAGCTACGATGGATTTGCAAACAGATTACGTTAAGTTCGAAACGAAAACCACTAGGGATTTGACTTGTTTGTATAATGTGTAGCTTTCAAATGGAATATAAATGTTAAAATTTGGGTGATTAGTTTTGTTGTAAATTAAATTTATTTTAGTTACACCTATTCTGAGACGCCATGTAAACTTCTATGATAAGTGACGCTCCATTATGTGCACCATATTGCAAAGCAATTTAGGATACTTTTTCGAACTGTATATTTTCAACAAGTGATGAAGATTTTCTGCTATGCGTAGCATTTCTCAGCAGTGTCGCAAATCTCAGTAAAGCTGACACAGTTACAAAATCAACTGTCACCGTGATAGCCATCACCATCCACCCGTACACATGTTCCTCGTTTCTCGCTCTCTTGAGAGTAACTACCCGTAGCTTAGCAGACTAACAAGTACTAGTTACCATCGTAAGGCATACCTGTAGTTTAACCCAGTCTTGCACCAAAATCAATAAAAATTTCCGAACTAAAATTGTACCGACAACAGCTTTGAGTAATTTTCAGCAAATTCACATCGACTTTTCGTTTTTCTTCTTTTCTTTTATTTCTATGTTTTGTTCAAATGAAAATAATAACCACTTACTACTTCGTGTGGGTATGTTTGATTTTATTTAACTACGCTTTGCAAAAATTTTTCAAAATTTATCATAAACAATCCATTTGATTCATCCTAACCGAACTGGAAACGTTCATCATCATCATCATCATCATCATATTCGCGATCATCCCACTGCATCATCACTTATTTTAAAACAAAACAAATACAAATTGAATCCTGCAACACTCGCTTCTGCTGAATGATGGTTCGACGAAAAACGCACGCTTCTAAAATCAATTATGCGATTTAGAACGCATTTCCCGCTGCGAGACGATTCTACTATCATCATCATCAGCCTCCAGCCAAGCCAAGGAACCGCGTCTTACAGCTCGCCATACCGTCGTCGTCTTCCGCCATGTCCGATGTTCCGGACGAGAGGACACCTGTACGTATTTTTGTGCTATTTTTTCTTGTTTCTGTGCTTTTTATTCTTGTGCCTATATCAATGAATCTATCTCTATATGCCTCTGTTTCTGTTTGTCAATACCAGTGTGTAAGTTTATGTGTGTACTATTTGTTTGATTTCCTGTGTAATAAATCTCCTTATATTCTCAGATGTTATTATAATGAATGAAAACCCTTACCTCAGACAGGTGCTGTTGGATTTGTTCCAATCTCTGCCTCGCTGGTAAAGGTCTTCGATTGATTGTCGGCCTGTGTCGTGGATGCCAATGCTGTGATTGTAATCGAATATCTTTTCCCCATATTCTTCTAGCTGATGCGCGGTGGAACGCGAAGGGTACGAGATGCTTCCACGTCCGACGCGCAGAATACGATCCCGAGCGATAGTATAGCCATGCAAACTATCGGTAAGTGTGGGTGTTTTTTTGTTTTGGTTTTGCGTATGTTTTCGGTTGTTTGACAGCAACAGGTGTATATAAACATTATAATTTATTGTGTTCTTTTCTTTTTTTTTCATTTGGTTGTGGTCCACCAATACAATACAAACAATACTGATTTCATTTGCTCCACCCTTAATGTGTAAATATTCGCAACCGATCCTAACTCCAACCACGTGTGACCGCCACCACCCGTTCCTGAAACTTAAACCTTTGAATGCCTCTTACACATCATCGATTGGCACTTAATTCTGCGAATGTTGTCAAAACCATTATGCGTTTGTATATATCCAAAATGCATTATTCATCGTGTAACTTGAAAATGATCGAAACTAACCCAAGGTCGTAACTACGTTTCAGAAGAGGAAGAAACGACAAGCTTCTTCGAGCAGATCATGCTGGCCACCGGCAATGTGGCCAGCTTTATCTACAAAAACAGCTACATCTTCACAAATGTCATCATGATGGTGAGTTTGGCATCAGTTAGTCGCATCATTATTACTTGATTTACTTCTTTGCAGACGTGGAGTATCATGTTTCACAGTTGGTTGACGTTTGTGCTGTTGATCTGGGCCAATCTAATCTGGATCATGCCAAACCAGCGCAAGAATATGCTTAATTCCAGTCCGTTCCTAGTCATCTATGCGGAATTGCTGCTGCTGGCGCAGTATCTGTATGGAATGAAACTCACCGACGATGAGTTACCGTCCACCGTTAATGTAAGCACTCTCACCGCATCACCCTCTTCTGGCATATTAAACCCCCATCATTCCAGATCACCGGCATCAATTTAGCCCAGATTGGGTTCATCAAGTACCGGGAGTACCCTTGCTCGCCGTTGCTAATCAAATCCGTCTTCACCACCATGTTCTGGGTCTCGTTGCGTCAGATGATCCAGGAGCGGCAAATGGAAAGACGGACATCCACTATCGCCGATATGGCCGCTCCGCTACAAGTCACGGTTGGCGCCGCTACGACGGCCGGTGCTTCCGGACAGCCACTGGAAAAGAAATCCTCAGCGTTCATAACCCGGGCCGGCACGCTGATCAACTCGTTCCTGATCAAGTTCTGGATCTGGGTGGTGGCAATTACACTGTTCCTGTCCGGCATGACAGGACACCGAATGACCGGATTTCGCATAGTTTATATGGCGTTGTTTTTGATATTCGTTCTAACATTCCAAGTAAGCTGCGAATCGAATATTTTATCTCACTGTACCCAAATTTCACAATAATGTGTTGTTTCTTTTATCAGTTCTCCTTCAAAGTCTGGCGCAAGATGATGTATGCTTTTTGGTTGACGGTTATCGTTTACTCCATGGCCATTCTAGTTCTAGTCTACACGTACCAGTTCGACAAATTCCCACTCTATTGGACCGAGTATCTTCACATATCGGATACTTTGTGAGTAACCGTGGAATGTGTGGAGAAGCTTAATTTGGCAACTAATGGATTTGATTTGTTTTCCAGACAAAAGGATATCGGTCTAGAAACCTACGAGACCAAGCAGTTGTTCCTGCACCTGGTGAACCCGACCATGATCGTCATTATCACCGTGATTCAACTCCACTATTGCCATAGGAAGTTTCTGGAAATTTCGGAAATCCCCATTGTGTAAGTAGTAGTACAAGATTGTCATTAGGCTGACCAGATTTTCCATCATGGTGTGAACGTGACATGATTGATACATTGAGGCACCGTTGCACTGTGGGCAAAAGCTGACCCAGAGTCGCACTTATTTCGTGCCGCTGGTTTCAAGAGATACCGGTTCTTATGTAAAAAGTCCAGGGAATCGCCAATTTTGCCCGTTTCCCCCATTTTCGGTGAAATTAAAAGTTATTTGGCTTCATATCCAACTAAAGTTATAAAATGCAGTGGATGATATGGTAAAGGCTGTCCACGAAATTATTGCACCACAAAAGAAAATATCTTTTTTTATATATCTTTATTAAGGAGACTTTCACCCCTGGGTTGGTTCGTCTCCGGCGAAAAGAAAATATCCTCAAACAAAAGCCATTTATCAGAATGAAGAAAAAAATCAGAGTGTGATTTTTGATATATTAAGCATTTTTTTCAACGTTTAGTTGGGTCTCATTTATTTACCACTTCTCTCTTAATTTTTACCACTTTCTTTTCTTTTCCACTTCATTTTTCGTAATGCTAGGGTTCTTTCTTAGCTGCTGCTTTTTAATCGCCCAGTATTTTTCGATAAGTTGGAGTTCTGGGAAATTTGGTGGATTGTTGTCTTTGTGCACAAACTTGACATTGTTCATCCTATACCATTCCAATATCCAATTTTGCATAGTGGCACGAAGCTAAATCTGACCAAAACATTGATTCAAAATGGAAGTAGGCGTTTTTGGCGACACTCATTAAGATAAATTTCTTGATTCACAGTTCCGGTTGTTACGAAAATCTCACTTCGTTTACCGCAGCTACAGATTGCTTGCCAAATCAAAAAAATGTTGGCAAACCACGAAATTTGTTCTGCTTAAATTTATCTGCCACATCAATAAGCAAACGTTCATGAAATCGTTTTAGCACTCTTGAAGCAGTATTTTGCACTATCCCGTGTCGTTTTGCGAGTTCGCGGTAGATTTGGATTTTCTCGGTGTGCAATCAAAATCTTTGCACGGTTGCTTTGCTGTTTCGGTTCCATTTTGAAATCTACACAATCGAATCCCACCAAATTTACAGGATGTAAACAATACACGTTAAAGTATATATCAACAAAATTTGGTAATTTTTCATCTTATGCAACAGGATGAGTTATGGCGAAGACATCATATCAAGAAGACTGGCAACTTTGCCATAATCCAAGCGACAGATTCAATAGCGCTGCGCTTGAGTGAAGGTGAAAGCAACGCATAGAAAAATGAGCAAATACACAAACCTTTCTTCTGAGGATGTAATCTTTGCTATCAAATTCGTTCGAAGCATTTACCTTTGAGCGGTGGATGACGCGATTGTACCTGTCTCATAGGCGTTCGTATGAGAAAATGGAAGAGTTGCCAGTCTTCTTGATTTTTTGTCTTTGGTTATCGGCAAATGTCAGTGGTGCAAAAATTACGTGTACACCCTTTAGGAAGCCATGGAAATAAATTACAACTAATCTCAATAATTGTGCAGACTAAAGAGATAGCCTATTTTGCTCCATTTTCCTCAACACTCGTTATTTAAGGGTAATTGATAACAGTTTTGAAACCTGCTGCTAGATTTCAGACATAAAACACAAAAACACGTACATATTAGGGATGATTCAAATATGACGTCCACTTTTGAGGAGGAGAGGCGGTCGTAGAATTTGTGACAGTACGTATAATAGGTATGAGAAAAAGCGTAACAAAGGGGGGTTGTCATATTTCAATCGCCCCTTAACCAGATTCAAATCAAAAGGTGTTTTTAGCAGTGTTTGACATGCTCAATTTTTCACACAAATTGCTCATTTGTTAATAAGTCTACACTCACTTGACGGAACCTGGTTTTTCTTAAAGTAACTTGAAGAATCTAACGACGTCAGATTCTAAATTTGGTTCCCAAACCCTGTTGAAACTGGTATGGTTTGATATGGTCAGTCTAGCGATGCACTCTCTCCTTCCTTATGCCTAATTTTTCTATTTCCAGTCAAGACAACGACGGCATCCCCGTGGTGTCGGAGACCAGCTCCGCCTACGGTACCTTTTCCCGGCGGAAAAAGTTAAGTAGCACTACCGACGCACCACCAATCGAGAGGGATCCCGAAGCGGGTACGAGTGGTGATGACGGTCCCAATCAGCCGAACGCAGCAGAACCCGCTGACGATGTGGCTTCGGAAATCCTGGATGACCTGCGCTTCCGGAAGCTTTCCAAACAGGAAATCAAAGGCGTTGCTCAAAAGCTCGTCAATCGGATATCGAAACTGGCGGAGATCGTGTGGCTGTTCTTCGAGATTCACCTGCTGAAGATCATTTTGATTGTGGCTTTCTCGCTCAGTGTGGAAACGATTTCTTTCCTGCACTTGATGTACGTGATCATGACCGTGTTTGCGGTCAAGTCCCACACCAATTCGCTAGTGCTGATTACGAGAATTATGTCGTTGATTTCGTCAATTTTGCTCATCACGACCATGATGTACCAGGTAGATTACATCAACGAAACGAACTACGTGAGCGAATGTCCCAACATCGATCTGAATGTGACTCATTGGGAGATGAACAACGCCAAGTGGTTCGGTTTTCAGAAGACAACGGAAATTAGTAGTTTACCGGATTTGGTGCGGCCATACTTGATCTACATCATTGTAGTGACGATCCACGCAGTGGTTGTGCTGAGACAAACGATCCGAAGGATACGACTGGGACTATCTCCACGAACTCCACAGCTGATGTTCCCGAATGTTACGCGTCTCGAAGCCGACAAGGATATTCCGAGAATGATAAAGTATCTGTTTAACTATGGATTCTACAAGTTTGGAGTGGAAATTTCGTTGGTTTCCCTGGTGATAGTTATAGCCTCTCGGATGGACATATTTTCCTGCTTCTACGCCGTCTGGATCTGCATAATGTTCCACATGACCCGCGATGGGTTGCGAAGGGTATGGCGAATACTGACTTGGTTTACCGTAGTGCTGATACCCTTGCAGTACGTTATATTCATTGGGTTGCCACCGGCTTTGTGCGTGGACTATCCGTGGGATATACCGTTTTTGGATCACTTCCGGATATGGGCAATGCTGCCGGAAAATTCGGCCATCTTCCGAGCGCAGGCTGCTAAGATAGTAGCCGATTTCCTGCTGCTTATGTTCCTCTGCCGACAAACGTTGGTATTCCGGATTGAAGCCAGGTATTCCTCATGTCCGGATGACTTCGGTGGCGGAAGTAATAAATCCGTGCTGGAGGATATCGACAAACTGGGAACGGTTCCGTTCATCAATCCGACACCGGATTTCATCGCCAAAGTACGTAACTGGTTGGATGTGCTGAAACGCGGTGCGTTTTTGGTATTTTTCTGGTTCACACTGGCGATTGTGTTCCTGACCGGGACCAGTCGGGTGACGCTGTTCTCGATCGGTTACCTGATAGGTTCGTTCACCTTCCTCTGGCAGGGAACGGACTTCTATCTGAGGCCAATCAAAGCGATTATCAAAACGTAAGTAGTTTCCAAGGGGGGTTAAATCAAGATATGATCTAAGGTTTGTGCTTTTCATTCGCAGTTGGAACATGCTCATCGGCTATAACGTGTTTGTAATCACAACGAAAACCCTCCTGCAGATGTTAGGCTGTCTGTACCTGAGCCAGCTGACGACCTACAACTGTTGGTTGGTGCAGCTTCTAGGAATCTCGTGTCTATCTTCGCAGGAAGACCGAACTCCACCGGATCCCATCGATCCGGATGCGAGTCTAGCCACCTGTAATGTTCCCTACGACGATTCGGGACTGTTTTGGGACGGTGTCTGCTTTGCCTTCCTACTGCTGCAGCGTCGGATCTTTTCCAGTCACTATTTCTGTCACATCATCAATGAGACAAAGGCGAGCACTATTTTGGCTTCGAGGTGAGATTCATGTCCTGCTTACAGCTTTCACTGGAGTACTTATGTTTCGAATGCATATTTTACCAGAGGTGCTGAGCTGATCGAGGATCTACGGAGAAAGGATGTTACAATGGAAGCGGAGCGTGAAAGTCAAATCCTGCTTAAGATCAAAATGAAGATGGATCGCATCAAGGCCACGCAGCAGAAGATTCTGGAACCGGTGCATGAGCCCATGACTCACGCTAAAGGTAATTGCTACCGTATAATCTAGTTTGTTTCGAGTATAGAATCGTTCATGCGATATTTTCTGTTCGTTACCGCGAAAGTCGTGTCGAAGTGGCTTGCAGAGATAAAGAGAGAATCGAGTTTTGATTTTTGTTGAGTATTGTTTTGTGAGAGTGATATCGAGTAAGTATTATTTTTTGTGATGGTGCGACGTAAGTACCAATGTGAATCTTCTGTTTGGGCTTGAGTTTGCTTCAGCTGTAGATCGGATATAGTGAACACCTGTAGTAGCGACCGAAACGAATCACACACACGGTAGAGTAACACTCACCTTAGAGTAGAACGAGCGTAGTTTGGGTGCACTCTCTCCACTAACAAGCGAGATCTTCCCTCTGTTTTTCTTTTTTCCGTTGATTGGTTTTGGCCAGAACAAGACGGTCAGCGTGTGGCACGCACTCATAGTTTGTCATCATATGCAGGATATCACACGCCAATCGAGGACGAAATTGCCGGTGGTTCTATGATAATCGAAGGCGAGGGGGTATCGGAAATTCCCTGCGATAATGGGGGATTGATTGTTAGTCGGGGCTCTTTCCAAACGCAGGTTTGTACCTTTTTTTTGGGGGGCGTGCACGTACATAGCTTTGAGAACTTGAGCATGAGTCTACCATTTTAGGCACCTTCACCATGTTCTGCTTTGATGACCGCTTCACTGGAAGCTTACCTAGATCCGCAGCGAATGTCTTTTGAGTCACCGAATGAAATGCTAGGTAGAGTTTGCAGCCCGGATGATACGTTTCCGGTGTTTTCCCCTCCACCATGTGAGGTAGTATTCAAAAAAAGACATACGCTCTTAAGTAGATAATATTGCACTTCTACCGATCTATTTCCATTAGAAGGAACAATCTGCACTAGCCGTCCCGGTCACCAACACTCTGATGCCACCAAGTAAAACTGCAATGCAAAACCGCCAGCACCGCAGGCAATCCAGCTTGAATACCGTATCTTGGCCTAACCCTAACGAGTTGACTGTTAGCCCTAGGCAACGCCGCCTGTCCAATAATCTTACTCCAGCTGAAGTAATTGTCCCACTTCTAAACATCCCACTAACCCACAATAAGTGACTTCTTATTTTAGGATACACCCGATCAAGTGCCATCGCCTCGCTCGCCACGTTCACCGCGGTCTATTACTCGGCATCAACATCGACGACAGTCCAGTATGGGGGGAACCTCCTTGGCTCCGGATGAATTAACAGTAGATCCCAATCGACGTCGGTCCAGTTTCTTGGTTTCTCTCTTTGTAGACGACGACACCACCCGGTATGATGATGTGACCACCACGGGACTAGGTCGGAGACGTTCCCGAGCCCGCAGCTTCTGGGGACCAGTTGGAGAGGCCGGGCTGCGGGATTCGATACGTTCGGCAACATCCCGCTCGCCCGTATCCCATCATGAGTGTAATTATGACTACGTTCATTTTTTGTCTCGCTTCAAATCATTGCTGCTTCTCTTGTAAATATCACCACACGTTACTGTTCATGAGACAACAGTCGACTTCTTGTAAATAATTCCCAGCGACATTTCAAAGATCCGTTTTACATAGCAGGTCGTGATCATCATCTGAACACATTCTTGGAGCGGTACGTATAAGGTTAAGCTTTGTAAATAACCAGTCAAATCCGAATAAAATCTTATGATTTTGAAACATACAGCCTTTATTTGTGTAACTACCGTTTGGGTTCGTGGTAAAAATAACGAAAATTTCCGAAAATTCCCTGCACCTGTGTTATCCACGCGGAGCACGCAATCGATTACATTTCAACACCAACTGATTATGAACTACAATCACATACCCATGTGAACCAAACAATCGCTTATTGCTTCAAACCTCATCAATACTGTATTTCTTAAGTTATTTACCTATATTTTTTTATTGATCACAGTTTATTTTATCCCACCAAGAGATTCCTATGCACAAATCTGTTTTATAGTAGTAAAATTGTGTGCCTTATTACCTCTTCCTTTAGATACCTGTCGACGCCCGTCGAGCCTTTGGCGCAAAATTTCGGAGAACAGAGCAGCCGGTAAAGAATACACTTTCAATATCCTTATCAAGCGCAACACTTTCTTCCTCATCTTAAACGAGCCTCTGCTGGCGACGGTAGTTGTGGTCCTGTAGTAGCAAACTCTTCTGCAGCAGTTTAGATAAACAAACCTAACAGCTTCTTTCCTGTACTGTCGTTCCAATTGCTTCACTGTCTCATTTATTGTCTGTTGACTTTCGCTGAACGTCTTTCTTCCACAGGATTCAAATGGTTCCGTGCGATGCGATGGTGGGGCTTGAAGATAGTTCTGTATCAAGATTATTGAGGTTTAAGTAAACTGAAACTGCTAAGAAGACGTTGGTGAATGTTGGTAATTTAAAATATTTTATATCGAGATTTTCCTCAGCAATCTTCAGGTCCCACTCATCGACCATTTTATTGAACCATACTTAGCCCCTAGCCTTTGCCAGTAAAAGGTCCTCTTCATACTTCGCTGTTTTCCATGTCCCAATCATACTTACCCTACCTATTGCGTCCTTTTATAAATGGTCAAAATTTTCAGTGTAGCAGAGGCTCAAACTGTTCTCATCGAAGTTCATTTGTGACTTAAAACAAGGTGTTTTGGACGTCGAAAGGATTATTTGTTTTAGCTTAGACGGCAATCGCTTTCTTTTGCTGCTGCACTTAATGGTTGACGAAGTCAATTTTGCTTACTAACTACAGTTTCCCCCCCGTTGTATAGCCTAGTTTCATACATTTCGAATACGCTTCATACTAAAATGGCGCAGAGACTTTTGCAGCACATATCACACGAAACTGATCAATTAAATTTTACACAAAAATAGCACAATACTATCACTCTAGTAAATTTAAGTAAGTAAGTAATAACATTCTTGAAGGTTGAATTTAAATCTTAATCACCATGTAAGTGTTGACCAATAAAATATGAAAAAATTTAGGTTAAAGTTAGATTTTTGCAAATTTTATCATTTTGCACCACTTTGGACTCCTGTGAAAATTGAAAAATTAGCGTATTTAAAAGCAGTAGCAGGTTTAAAAAAGTATTTGCAAGCTACACTAATGAATTCAAGCCCTAGAAGAAGTTAATAAGTTCAATGTTTACAGTCTATCACCAGCGCGGAAATATTCCTGTGAAATTATTTCTAGCGTAGGAGTCTAATAAAGTGCAAACAGTGTAACAAACACTCAATTATATTCTTACAAAATTTTCGTTTTTTTCCAATTTTGCCATCATTTAGGTAAAAAGAAAGAGCACAGGATTAGTAATTTCCGTTGATTTCCACTACCTTAATTGCTTATCCTTGACAGATACGCGTATTTCGTTTACAATCTGCAGACATCTTCAGTGTCTTGTACTAATACTCGACTTCAGTGTAATTGTCTATAATCGTCCGTTGCTGGTATGAGTATTGCACATTAAGTTTTGTTTTCGCCATCTCTACAATTCTTAGCAAAATTAATGTCTGCTCGTTTAGATTCAGCAGAACAACGTAGCTTTTGCTAAGATATCTGTCAAATGTGTTTACCAGAAGCTCCAGAGATTCATTAAAATTCTCCTGCATTTTGACGTAGGACTACGTCTGTGATTTCTATACTTTGTGAAAACCAAAAAATGGAACCTGTAACAAAAGTATGAAAGATTTTGAACGTTAATAGCTCAGCTGCCCCTGGACCAATTTCAATAATTTTATCACCCATCGATCAGAAATTTTCCAACGCATCAGTAGCATTGCTTCCAACTGGTGATTTTCAACAGGAAACTATTGTCAAGCATTGTCCAAATGTACAAATAAAAAGTGATAATTTTATCACTGTTTTCATGAAATAAACGTTCTTGCCAAACCTATGACGAGTACCACTTGGTTGCACATCATTCTACTTTAACCTGAAAAGATATAAAAGAGCGCTGCTGTCCAGCCTCAACTCATGTTCGCTTCGGACGGCGTTGTGAGCAGGCAGCAGAAGCAGCAATAGCAACAGTAGGAAGGTGGTGGCAGGTATGGTAGTTCATTCTTCTACCTAACAAGCAACAATCACTGGTCGTGGCAAAGGAGGAACAGGTCTTGGTAAAGGAGGCGCCAAGCGTCATCGCAAGGTTCTTCGTGATAACATCCAGGGTATTACCAAGCCCATCAGCCGTCGTCTGGCTCGCCGTGGCGGTGTCAAACGTATCTCTGGTCTGATCATCTGATGATCTCAACTTGTCACATAACCAACAAAGCAACTAGTTACCCCTGTGTGGAAGTAGGACCATCGCGACGATCAGCAAAACGGTAGCAACCAAGCTTCTAATCCTGAAGCAACCGGGCCGAGACTCATCTGAGTGCTCATTTCTCGTACACAGCAAAACATTAATTTTGATTTCACATCAACGTGGATGCACTTTAATCGTGTCAAAAATATGGTGTAATATTTCTTGCCAAAAAGGACAAAATTATCATTAATACAGTGAATGAACTAAAATTACGCTGCTTTTGCTAAATTTGTTAATTTGTGTGGCCATAAAAATTACATGAGATTTTCGACATGATTGAAGTGCTTCCTCTTGGATGTTGTTCCGTCTACCGCCGAAAGAGAGGAGAAAAACGTCGACCAATCAGCAACGAGCAAACAGTCGGTGCCGCTCTATAAAAATCCCCGTAGTAGCGTGCTTAAGTTTAAGTTTGAATCCAACCGAGCATCCGTTCGCAGCAGCAGCAGCTTTCACCTTGTAGCGAGAAACGAAGAGAAATAAACAGTAGTGTCTAGTGTAGTCGGCAGCATTCGTCATTTCTACTGCATGTCCATTGGTGTCCCGGAGAGCAGCGTCAAACCCCCCAGCTCTTTTCAGAGCTCCTGAGTTTAGAACTTCGATTGACGCTAGCCAACTCCGTTCGCTCCCGCCCAGTACAGTCCACTTCGCCTTGACAAAACCAGTTCAGAAGGAACATCAATTTGGTCCGTCACGAACCGGATCACGAGCCATTCCGAAGCAACCGTTCCCGTTGAGTGGAAACTGACGTGCTACGACACACAAACTGTACCCAACCAAAACGAAAAAACTGCTTCTGCTGCTACGCTTGCGACTCGACGCGGAGCATTTAGAACGAACGTGTTTGAACGTGCACGAGTGAGAAGTGCGTTTTCGGAAAAAATACGTTTTGTTGTGGTTTCGAGATTTGAAATACGCCGCGTAGTGAGTGAGGTGTCATAAATGGCACCAGAAGACGCTGAAGAAAACCAGCAAGCGAACCCTATCCCTAGGTCGCCAATTAGCAGTTCCGGTTCATTTCACGGCTTCGAGTGGGAAGCAGCAATGGATCCTGAATCTGCAAAACAGTGGCAGGGAATATCCAGGCAACGTGAACAAGTGAAGCAAAAGATTGTGCGCATTCGGCGTTCTCTCATTAGTGGAAAGCCACCGACTTTGGCGCAACTGACAAATATGTCCAAGCACCTGTCCGTTGTGTACACCGAGTACAGCGGATTCCACAGCAAAGGACTGGCGCTTCTTCCAGATGATGCGCTGGACGAGCAAGAACATGAATATGCCAACTTTGAAGATCTCTACAACAACGTTACCGATGCCGTGCAGGAGTTGTTGCTGGAAGCACAAGCAAACGCGGCCACTCCATCGCCGACAACCGTCCATAACCCGCAGGTGGTCGTCCAGCAGCAGCCGCTCAGCGCACCAATTCCAACATTCGATGGCAATTACTCTGGGTGGCCTAAATTCAAAGCTGTCTTCCAGGATTTGATGGCCCATTCGGGGGATACAGACGCCATAAAACTGTATCACCTCGATAAGGCACTCATCGGAGATGCAGCTGGTGTATTGAATACCAAGATCCTTAGTGAAGGGAATTATCAACAAGCTTGGGACATTTTGGAGGATCGCTACGAAAACAAGCGGGTTCTCGTAGAAACCCACATCCGTGGTCTGTTTTCACTACGAGACATGTCATCGGAGACCCATAAGGAGCTGAGAGGTCTGCTAACCGAAGTTACTCACCACGTCGAGAGTCTGAAGTTCCTCCAGCAGCAGATCACTGGCGTTTCGGAGCACATGATTGTGTATCAGATCGTCTCCGCGCTCGACAAATCGACCCGCAAAGCCTGGGAAGGGATCCAGAAAAAAGGACATCTTCCCAAATACGAACCAACCATTGCCTTCCTGAAGTCCAGGTGCCAAATCCTCGAGAATTGTGAGGCGGCATTCCAGACTAGCAAATCCAGCTCGAAACAGAAGCAAGCTCTTCCACCATCGAAGATCCATCCGCAAAAGAGCCATGCAGCATCGACCAGCCCATCCCAACTGACGAACTTGTGTGAAATTTGTGGTGGTTCTCACCGCAACCACCAGTGCTCGGCCTTGTCCAACCTTACTCCTGCCCAAAAGAATGAGAAGATACGAACTGCTGGAGTCTGCTTCAACTGCTTGCGCAAAGGGCATCGATCCAAGGACTGCCCTTCCGACAAATCGTGCCACAAGTGTCAACGCCGACACCACACGTTGCTCCATGATGATGGGGCACCCCGCTATGAGAAGAAGTCCAACGTTTCCGCGGAAGCAGTGGCAAGCCCGCCTCTGGTTCCGGCTGCTCCGAATCAACCGATGTCGGTGCAGACGATTCCTGTCCCAGTGGATCCACCAGTGTCAACAACCTGTTCGTCGAATGTTGTCTCATTTCCCAAGACGGTACTGTTGCTGACCGCAGTGGTACATGTCTTGGATAAAGATAACCAGCCATATCCGTGCCGGGTACTTTTGGACAGTGGCTCCCAAGTCAACTTTGTAACCGAAGAGATGGTTAATCGCCTAGGCCTCCCAAAGAAACCAGCCAACGTTCCGATCGTGGGAATCAACGCCCTACGGTCCCTCGCCCGAGACAAGGTGGTGGTCAGGTTCCAGTCCCGTGTATCCAATTTCCACGCAAGCCTCGAGTGTCTGGTTACCCCGAGAGTGACCGGCACGATCCCTGCATCGAGAATAGACATCACCAAATGGACGATCCCTGAAGGGGTAATCCTAGCTGATCCTAAGTTCCACAGTCCGGATAAGGTGGACTTGCTGATCGGTGGGGAGTTATTCTTCGATATCCTGAAACCTGGTCAGCTGAGCCTAGCCGAAGGTCTTCCACAATTGCGAGACACTTATCTGGGGTGGATCGTAGCAGGTGCCATCAATGATCAGCTCGTGTCAAACGTGTCGCTCCAATCCAATACAGCCGTTGAAGACATTGAGAAAAGGATGCACCGGTTCTGGCAAGTCGAGGAGGTGCCGGACGTTCCCAAGCTGTCGACCGAGGAAGCAGCATGCGAAGCCCACTTCCTTTCCACATACCAACGTGACGAAACTGGAAGATTCATCGTGAAACTGCCGTTCAAGGACAATCTTCTCCAATTGGATAACTGTCGCAGTCTAGCTTTGAAAAGATTCCTGATGTTGGAAAAGCGATTAATCCGCAATCCCGAGCTGCAGGCTCAGTACGTGAACTTCATCCGGGAGTACGAAGCTCTCGGCCACTGCACCGAGATCAACGAGTCTGAAGATCCACCCAACAAGCAAACCTACTATTTGCCGCATCATGCAGTGTTACGTCCGTCCAGCTCGAGCACGAAATGTCGAGTCGTGTTCGACGCAAGTGCAAAGTTGTCGCCATCGGAACTCTCCCTGAACGATGTACTGCAAGTTGGTCCAGTAGTACAGAACGATCTGCACCATATCGCGCTACGGTTCCGAAAATTCAAGGTTGCCATCACCGGAGACATCTCTAAAATGTACCGTCAAATACTCAAAGCCCTGTTGGATCGTAGTTTCCTTCGAATCTTTTGGAGAGAGCACCCATCGTTACCCCTACGAGTCCTGGAACTCTGTACCGTTACGTACGGTACGGCATCGGCACCATATCAAGCAACCAGGTGTTTGCTGAAGCTCGTCGAAGAGGATGGTGAGAACTTTCCTGTCGCCGCTCGTATTGTGAAAGAAGAAACGTACATGGACGATGTACTCTCCGGTGCAGACTCGGTGGAGGACGCTATCGAGGCTCAACAACAGCTGAAGCAGCTCCTTGGACAAGGAGGTTTCCCCATACACAAGTGGTGTTCAAATTCACCGGAATTCTTAGAGCATATTCCCGTGGAGGATCAAGAAAAAAGGATCACGTTGGAAGAGCATGGAGTGAATGAAGCCATCAAGGTGCTTGGTTTACTCTGGGATCCCTCTGCAGACTCGATACTCATAGCCTATCGTCCAAATCCAACATTGCATCCGCAACGGCCTACGAAAAGAACGATGTACTCCGAGATCGCCAAGTTTTTTGACCCCCTGGGACTGGTTTCACCGGTCATTGTTTTGGCGAAGCTTCTAGCGCAGAAATTGTGGCAGCTTAAGTCCGGGTGGGACGACCCGGTTGACGAAGAAATCGCACAGCAGTGGCGACAACTCCAAGATTCCTTGTCGCATCTTCACGAGATCGAGATCCCAAGGCGCGTGACGATGGACAACGTGGTCGCCTACGAGCTGCACGGCTTCTCTGATGCCTCCAACAAGGCTTATGGAGCCTGCATCTTTTTGCGAAGTATTTTTGGCAATGGCTCGGCGAAGCTTCGCCTCCTCACCAGCAAATCGAAACTGGCTCCCCTAAAAGAGCTGTCCATCCCACGAAAGGAATTGTGCGCCGCTCTCCTACTAACCCGGTTGGTACAGAAGGTGTTACCAGCCTTGGATATGACTTTCCGTGAAATAGTCCTGTGGTGCGACAGTACGGTAGTCCTCGCTTGGATTAAGAAACCTCTCAACCAGCTACAGTTGTTTGTACGGAATCGAATCGCAATTATACAAGAGCCTACCAGTAAGTACCGGTGGGAGTATGTCCGGTCCCAACAGAACCCAGCAGACATCGTATCCCGAGGTCAACTAGTTGAATCCCTGAAGCACAACAGCCTTTGGTGGAATGGGCCCGAATTCCTGCAAAGAGTTGAGTACTACGTAGATGCCCCTGAAGACGTTCCAGACGAGAAGCTACCGGAACTTAAGGCCTTGGTAGCAGGGCCAGATGTGAGTATGGACTTCCTATCTTTTCTTCCAAAGCTCAGTAGCTTCCGCAAAATCCAAAGAGTTGTGGGCTATGTCCTGCGATTCACTGCCAATTGTCGGAAAAAGGACCCGACCAATCGAGAGATAAAGCCCCATCTGACCGTCCGTGAGTTACGCCGCTCATCTGAAGTCATCATGCAAGTTTTGCAGAAGGCACATTTCTCCGACGAGATTAAGCTAATTCTGGCAAACAAACCCTGCAAGAGACTCGGAGGTCTTCGTCCAATTTACCACGACGGACTGCTTCGAGTAGGTGGTCGGTTGGACCGCTCCCAATTACCATTCGAAAGTCGCCATCCAATCATTCTGCCAGATAAGGATCCGGTAGTACGACTACTAATTCAACAAATGCACGTCGAGCTCCTTCACGTCGGGCAAACGGGCCTGATGAACGCCATGAGACAACGTTATTGGTTGCTGAACGCAAGATCCACCATCCGATTAACCACACGCCGGTGCGTGAGATGCTTCCGGACAAATCCTACCACTCCCAACCAATTGATGGGAAACCTGCCAGTATCGAGAGTAGTGCCGTCGCCCCCCTTCGCTGTGACCGGCGTGGATTACGCCGGGCCTTTCTGGACCAAGCAAGGCACACGTCGTCCAACTTTGGTGAAGTCATACGTGGCCGTTTATGTTTGCATGGCAACCAAAGCCGTCCATTTGGAGGGCGTCTCCGATTTGAGTACCGATGCCTTCATGGCGTCCCTTCGACGATTTATTGCTCGCCGTGGAATGGTCCAAGAAATCCATTCGGACAACGCAACCAATTTTCGTGGTGCTCACCACGAATTGAACAACCTTTACCAGCAGTTTTGTGACCAACACGCCGTGGACACCATCGAATCTTTCTGCCGCAATCATGAGATTGAGTGGAATTTCATTCCACCCGACGCACCCGAGTTCGGTGGTTTGTGGGAGGCAGCCGTGAAGTCGGCCAAAACCCATTTGAAGCGGGTAGTCGGCAATACGAATCTAACGTTCGAGGAATTGTGTACTATCCTGTCAGAAATCGAGGCCGTCTTGAACTCCCGACCATTGTTCGCAATTTCCAACGACCCGGCGGACCCGCTGGTGATAACTCCAGCGCATTATTTGATTGGACGACCGCTGATCGCCCCAGCTGAACCTTCCCTGGAGAACGTCAAAGCATCCCGCTTGACACGGTGGCAACATCTCCAACTTATGCGCGAGCAATTCTGGCGTGCCTGGAGCCGGGATTATTTGAATACCTTGCAGCCTCGGAAGAAAAATCGACAAGAGAAGCCGAACATTCGGGAAGACATGATCGTGTTGCTTCACGATCGTAACCAACCACCACTCAACTGGAAGTTAGGTCGCATCGTAGCCGTCTATCCTGGAACCGACGGCCTGGTCCGAGCAGTTGATGTCTTCGTGAATGGAACCACGTATCGACGTCCCATCAATAAGGTGTCCATTCTGCCCATCGAGGATAATGATCCCCATCAAAGCCCTCCGACTTCCAAAAGGTGTTGAGATCTCTCAACCAGGGGGAGGATGTTCCGTCTACCGCCGAAAGAGAGGAGAAAAACGTCGACCAATCAGCAACGAGCAAACAGTCGGTGCCGCTCTATAAAAATCCCCGTAGTAGCGTGCTTAAGTTTAAGTTTGAATCCAACCGAGCATCCGTTCGCAGCAGCAGCAGCTTTCACCTTGTAGCGAGAAACGAAGAGAAATAAACAGTAGTGTCTAGTGTAGTCGGCAGCATTCGTCATTTCTACTGCATGTCCATTGGTGTCCCGGAGAGCAGCGTCAAACCCCCCAGCTCTTTTCAGAGCTCCTGAGTTTAGAACTTCGATTGACGCTAGCCAACTCCGTTCGCTCCCGCCCAGTACAGTCCACTTCGCCTTGACAAAACCAGTTCAGAAGGAACAGATGTAATATTAAAATTATTTTTTTGCTGTGTAGCAAAGTTGAGGTATCCTTCGTTGTGCCTTTCCAACGATTGGGTCAACCCGTGTCCAGCAGTAGCCGGGTCGAGACTCTTCCAAGTGCACATTCGTCGTTGAGGTATCCTTCACTGCGTCCTTCCAACCCGTCTAGCCACCTAGTCAACCCGTGTCCAGTAGCAGTCGCGCGGAGACTCTTCCGAGTGCCTATTCATCGTAGCAAGGTTGAGGTTGCCCTCGCTGCGGCCTTCCAACCTGTCGCAGACACCAGTTCAACCCCTGTCCAGCAGCAGACGGGCCGAGAATCTTGCGAGTGTCCAATCATTGAACCGATAATATGGGATTGTCTCAACTAAAACTCATATCAAAAAGTTCTTTTCAGGGCAATCATAGTCATACTAAAGAGTGTTGGAGGCGAACCAGCCCAAGGCTGAAAGCCTCCCTAATAAAGATAAATAATAATAATAATACTAAAGAGTATACACAGAGAACTCCGCTCAAACTTCTATTCCTACACAAAACACAAGCTCCTGCTGCAGTTAACAAATAACATTTATTATATAAGACCACGTAGCCCTACGTTACCATTATGTACAACTCCATAGGGCTGTCCCTTGTAGTTTTTTTTAGGAATTCTCTCCTGCATTCCCTAAGTATTCTTCTCAGCATTCCCTTGGAATCCTTCTCGAAATTCTTTTGAAACGCTCCCGGGCTTGCTTTGTAATTCTCCTTAGAATGCTATTGGAATCTTTCTCGTAAGTCCCTTGAAATTATCCTCCGAATCGGCGTTTGCCTTAGAATTCCTTTTAAACTATAATTAGATTTAAATTCCCTTTGAATTGCTATCGGAATTCACTTGAAATTCCTGTCTGGATTCTTTTGGAGCTTTAGTCGGAATTCTGGGAATTTTTGCTAAGAATCATCCTCAAAATTCCGGGGAGAATTGTTCTCAAAATTCTGTTGGAACTCTCTTTACGATTCTCCTAGGAAGTCCTAAGTTAGAGTTACCGTAAAACAGGGTAACATTGACAGTTTTTTTTTAAAGTATATTCAAAATATGTTTACAGCAATGAATGTTTTTCAAATTTTGTTACTTTAAAACAAGTACTGAGGATCCTAGAGTCAATGTGTTAGTAATATGTTTAGCAGAAATTATTGCATTTGCACTATTTAGTTAGTCTTGTGACCAGGGGTTGAAACTGTTGACGTTTTTTCCGACACTCGCTTCGTTGTCATGCGCGACAGTCTGTTTTTATTCGTACTCTCATGTTCTACCGTCGTCTCTCTCACACAACACGAACGGAAGAATAGCATTCGAGCTAAAAGAAAATTCTCAAATAACTATCATATGACATGTGTGATTTCATTCGAATTCCTCAATTTGGTGTAAATTAAACCATTTCTGATCAGTTGCTTGCTATTTTCAGAATTCACACAAGCACAACATCAGCAGCTCTTATGAGAAAAACTAAAATACATACATTCGTGACGGTCTTCGGCAACAGTGTCGTATGACAGAGTCTGTCATATGACATTTTAGTTTGGTACTGTAATTTGATAGCTTGTTTTGCAAGTGTCGGAAGCAAAGGCAGTCGATTATCACAGAAAATATGTCGACTACGGTGACCACTTACAAAACTGCTTGTGACTGAACAACAGTATTTTGATTTGGGGTTACTTTGATAATGCTTGATGAATGTAAAAAAACATGCGAGATACTCAAACAATTTAGTTCAAGAAATATGAAATTTTCAAAGAGCAATAAGAAGACAACATAGAATTTGCGATAGCTATATCGGAAATAAATTTCATAACGAATGGTTTGAGTGCTTTTTAAAAAGGCGAAAAACAAGACAATTTTTTTTACTTTGTTTGGAAAACATGTATCACATATTACATAAAAACTTTATATGATATCAAGGGAAATACATAAGCTACAATAAGGATCCAATTTTTCCAATTCGGAAATAATGTAGAGAGCACACTAAATTATTATATTCTTCTATCAAAGTTACCCGCATTATCAAAGATACCGCGTTATGCGGTACCATGACATTCTATCAATAACTACCACTACTATCCCCTAGGAATTCAACTCAGAATTCCCTGAGTGATTTTCCCTTGAATAGCTATCATTAAAAATGTGAAATTCACCTTAGAATCCCTCTGAAACTATCTTCAGAATAAGATTCCCGTAGAGTTTTTTGGGACCGTCCATAAATGACTGAGCATATTTTTGATCAATTGTATACCCCCCTCCCTCCTCGTAGCGTATTTTGCAAAACTTAGTACATGGCCGGTCTCAAATTCTGAAATCCCCTCCTGCCCCACCCCTCAAATGCTACGTCATTTAAGCATATTCCCTTATCAAAATTCTCATAGGATTAACTTTTTAAATTCCTTGTCAGTTCTCGTCAGAATTTTCTTGAAATTGTGTACCTTAACACAACTTACGTTGTTTTTCTTTTTAATTCAACTACTATTGTAACACTTTCACTATGCACTTTCAATTATTTTAAAAACCAATAACATATACGTATTTCGTTTACTACTTGACTAGACACTGAAGAAGTTTGCAAGTAGTAAATGAAATACGTATCTGATATAGGTTTTTAAAAGCGATAGTGAAAGTGAATAATGAAAGTGAATAGTGAAAGTGAATAGTAGAATGTATAGTGAAAGTGAATAGTGAAAGTTATACAATACTAGTAGAATAAAATTAAAATACAACGTAATAGGGTTCACAATTATTCTACAAAAAAGCTCATTAATCAATTTAGATTGAAATTGTGGTCAAAATTACCTTGGAATTGTCACTAGAATTTATTTTGGAAATCTGTAAAACTGCTCATTTTGCCAAAAAAAAATGGCTAGGGTAACTGATGATTTTTTTTTTTTTTTTTTTTAATAATTCGTTTATTTTTCCAGGCTCATTTGCTGTAGCTTTGCGGAGCCGATATTCATTGTTTAGATAACAAAATTACTTAAAACTAACGTTAGTAAAGCGGGGGCCGATTACTCGCGGCTATCTCGAGGTTAGGGGTAACAAATTGTAACAAATGGATGGCAGGGTAGGGATTGTGAACACAAGGTTTGGAGAGCAATGTGCTCTTGATCTCGAACTAGGCGACACTCTGATGAAAAAGACAAACATGGGGGTACACCGATGGGTAGCTAACAACTTGGGAGAACACAAGATGACACTAACTTCTAAATCCTCAAATCTATCCGTTTTAAAAACACATAAATTAAATTCAAATAGTCAAGGTCTCGGCTCGCCAAGACATCTCTAACGGGTATCGCGGGTTGTTTTCCTCGGGCCCTGAGGGATGTGGATAACTCAGATCTGGCAACACGGTGTAAGGTACACGACCAAACAACATGCTCGATATCGTGATAACCACTGCCACACGCACATAAATTGCTGCCTGAGAGCCCAATTCGATAGAAGTGCGAGTCTAACGAGCAGTGATTGGACATAAGCCTTGAAATAACGCGTATAAAGTCGCGGCTCATGTCCAACCCTTTGAACCATGGTTTGTTCGACACCTGTGGGAGAATAGAATGTAACCATCTTCCCAATTCACCATCATTCCATTTTTGTTGCCAACTGATGAGGACTTGCTGGCGAGCAATGGAGAAAAATTCGTTGAAGGCGATTTGTCGCTCAAAAATATCGCCTTCCATAGCGCCCACCTTAGCCAATGAGTCCGCTTTCTCATTACCCGGAATTGAGCAATGAGATGGGACCCAAGCTAAGGTGATAGTATAGGAGGTAACTGATGATGGTTGGACCTATTTAGGCCGGTTTCACACGACGTCAACATTCATGTCGTATTTTTTTTTATGAATTCAACATATAATTATGAAAAATACATAATTAGGGGAAAGATCTACCTTTCTAATTTCTAATAATAACATAAAAAGTTAAATATTATGAACAAATGATTTTATAAAACGTTTTTATTCAACAAAGAATTATGATGTAGGTTGGACCTATGCTGATCTTGGTTGGACCTAAAAAATGATGATGGTTGGAACTATTTTTTACAAATGCTAGTTTAGCCCATATTTGTTCAAAAAACTTGGTTTAGAGCTTATTGGTATCATGAAAAACCCTTTTTATTCAGTTTTTATGAATTTGCTATTTCAAAAAAAAATTAAGAAATTTGAGTTCAACTTCGTTTTTAAAAAAGTTCACTTTCCACTCATTAACTATTCATCATGGCTCATTTTCTCGGAAATCATTGACCCGATTTGGAAAAATTTTTAACGTCAAACTATAGGTATTGTGGTCCCATTGTAAGCTATCGAATATTTTTGGAATCGGTCAACTGGTTCCGGAGACATGGCCGGAACAAGTTCCAGGGTATATGGAACATGGACCTAATTTTGACATGGAAGGAATAAAACCTATCATGCGACACTTCACATTACTTCCAAATTTGATAACAAGATCAATAACAAAATTGAGTGCCTTGGACCACATTGGCCACATCCGGGCGTGTTCTGAGTGCCCTCGGGGAATTTAGGGGCTTAAAGTGACAGAATATCAGAACTTAATTCCGGTTTTATAGCTTTCTCCTAGGAGTTTTTTTTTTAAATAAGTTTCAGTTAGCAATTTTTAGTGTGATAACATTTTAATTCAAGTTAATTCACACACAGAAGGTGTATCAGAATTGCCTAATGTAAATTCATATTAACAGATTCTTTCGGCGCTTTCGTGGTAGTTCGGAAATCGGTGGTTACCCTTTCAGCCAACCTGACGATGGAATTACTCCTTTAAATTTACGCCCAACTAGTGACGCAAGGTCTTTAGCAGCTTCCAAGATCGTCTTGGGACTGCCAGAAGCAATGCACATACAAACCCAATCCCCTAGCTGGTTCTCCAAATCAACACTCAACACTATTTCCCTTCCATATTTCTTGCCGTGGCTTCCCTTAATTTTTGCGTGAAGTGTCGTTTTCGGAATATTGTACCTTTTCTGTGCCTGATACGCGATAAGTGATTTATTTCTTACTAAAAGAACAGCCTCTTGAAGATTTTCGACCGTATAACTCTTTTCTTTAGCCATTTTTTCAATCGAAGAAACTGATCACTCGGCCAAAACGAAATCGAATTTCAAATCAGCTGCGCATGAAAGATGTAGACAAACCGAAGCGCACCTAGCGGCCGTCTTAGGAAACACATAGGTCAATTTAATAATTTCGTCAATTATTCAAACATTTTAGTGAAACCAATGGATAAATGGCGTACTAACGTGTTGTTTATACCTTAAAGCAGTATTTTACTGCATGAAAATAAAGGGCGAACACGAAATTATTGCGACACCGAAAATGTCATGCCAATTTTCTT